AAGCTGTTTCTTAATTAATGTGATAAAAGCCTCCTGAGCCTCTTTTCTTCTCACTATCAACCATAAAATATCCCATGTCACTTAACCATTATAGGGATTGATTTTTTTTTTTTTTTTTTTTTTTGGGATTGCACAGGATTGTGAGATCAAGTTTTTGTTTTTCTTTAAAACTTCCAGATCTCCTGGCAGAGCCCTCCATCCATGATGAGGAGCCTCGGGTGCATCTTAAGCTCCAGCAGCCAGAAGGAGACCTCTTCTCCTGTGGATGTGATACAACAGATGCCAGCCAGACCTCATCCAATGACACTCCGGCTCCAGAGAGAGCCGTGTGCCAGCCCTGCAAATCCTTGTCAGGTGACGAAGAGGAGCTGGAGGATGAGGTAGAAGTAGTACCTCCACCGGAGGGGGATGCAGTTGAAGGACGGGTTCCAGAAGAGATTGTAGAGGAGGACAAAGAGATAATATCGGAGGTTCAAAGCAAGGAAAACCAAGCATCTGAAGTTCCTCTAGAGGAGGAGATCGCAATGGAAGAGGCAGAGGAAGAAGAGGGGACACCTTTGGAGGATCAGGAGGAAACACTAACAGACTTATCTCAGGCAAAAGCAGAAGATGTGAGTCAAGAAACTGAATCTACAGCTGAGAAAGAAAGTGCTGAGCAATTAGAAGATGAAGGATCAGAGGAGGATGAAACAGTACCTGAACCAGAGGAAAGAAACCCAAGTTTGACAGAAAACCTCAAACCAGTATCACAGGAGCTACCAAAGGGTACATCAGATCCAGGGGAGGAACCAGAAGTGACAGAACAACCTGAAACTGAAGAAGACCAGGAGGTCACCTCAGAGCCCGAGCCCATCCCCGAGCCGGGCCCAGAACCAGAAGCCATTTATCAGGAAAGCCAGGAGCCTTCTGTTGAAGCTACTATAGATGATGTAGGTAAAGAAACTACAGCAGACACTCCAGTGTCTGAACAGGGTTCTGATGGAGAGGTGACATTGGAGGAGCTGCCTGCAGGTGAGGCTAAACACAAAATCAATTTAGGGACTAAAAGGTTGTTCTACTGCAGATTTAATGTATACACTGCAACAACTGATCTATAAATAATCACAACAAAACAAAAAATAGAATTAGTAGATATACCCTTAATTTAAGTAGGTCAATTATATGATCACCTAATAAAATAAGTATTTTTGCTCCTAAAATAAGATAATTAGATATTAATCATCATCATCCATATGCAATCACCCAGTTCTAATTAAGTGAATTATGCTAATTTACACTGTCCTTTTGTTTGCTGTCTGGAGAACTGAGAGAATCACTGAAAAAGACAAAACGCCATAAACATTTAAATCAGACAATAACAAATAAAAATTTAAAAACATTTTCTAGTTATACATTTAAAACTAAATTCTATGTATTATTCATTATTGAATACTACAATTTTGAAATTTATTTTTAAATCCTATTTCTTAATATAGATGTAAAATAAATAATTCATCAATCTAATTATAAATACCTCTTCTAATCACACATTTCAAAAGGTAATTCTTTCTTTTTCTTTTTGGCCCTGCATGATCAAATATTTTTTTCAGTTGTATTATCTTTTTCTGTACCCTCTCCTTTGAGCTTTTCTGTGAGCCTTCAGGGCCCCAAGCACACTAAAAACCAGTTAAAGCAATCAGGGGTCAATAAAGAGCACCAGAGTTACGCTTTTGGACATCTAATGGCTTTATTAAAAAGAGAGAGACATGAAGAAACAATAAAACCAAAATTTATTGTGTGGTGAAGTGATTTATTGTTTATCCCGACTGGCTTGAAGACATTATAGGAAGACATTAAGGTCAATTCAAAGTGAAACTTTTAAGATTGTTTTTGATACAGTAATTTTTGCAGCATTGCTCATATTGTCATGTTTCTTTATACATTCTGCAGACTGTTGCATGCCATTATTTTCCTTTTGTTCTGAAATCTGATGGATTGCAAATGAAGCTACATACTAGGGAAGCATTACTGGTTACATTCGCATTTAGACTGGAACTCAGCCCTCTGACTGTGTGTCCGTTCACTCTCACAGAGGGTGAGACCATCGGGTCAGGCCTGAGAGACCGTTCCCACATTGAGGAGATGCTGCGACTGGCAACCGCTGAATCATCAGGGGAGTTCTCTGGTAAGGAACAAAATATCAGCCTGAGAAAACTGATGATGAGAAATCTTTATGAGGTACAAGAGTTCTCTAAAAGAAGAGTTGAAATATCCACATGTTAAATAGCATTTAAACAAACCCTGCTAATTCTAGCTGGTAATGTCTCCTGGACTGGTGCTGCGGAAATGAAGTCGTGATTTAAACAGAAACGGCCTCTGAATGTTTACACCTACGTTGTCAATGCAAAAGAAAACCAGATGTGCTTGGAAGAAAATAAAAGTGAGTCTGAGGCAGTTTTGGGTGGGTGGATGTGGGGGATTCTGCTACAACTATTTTGATAATTGCTTCATGATGGCTGGGCCAAAGTGTGTAAGCAATGTGCCGTATGACTGCATGTGGACAAATGAGGGTAATTAATCAGAGGAAATTTACTGTCCTCAGCATGAAACTCTATGGTCTGTTGAATCAGAGCGTTTCCTGTTAGAAAACTTACGAGCTACAACAGAGCTGGCCTTTTATTACCTCCCAGCTATACAGTAAAGTTTATGAGGCTAATTCATCACCAGTCGGAGCAGATTTTGACATTAGCTGTTATTGCTCTGCCTCTCCCTGTTTTTCTCTGTGAAGGTGCCATAAAGAGACTGTTGAACATCTACCATAAGGCCATCAAGCCCATGGAGCAAGTCTACAAGTACAATGAGCTCAGACAACATGAAGTCACGGGTAGGTACACCTCCTTTCCATGGGCGGCTCTACATGGGGGCCAAAAGGGGCCAGTGTCCCTGTAGATCTGTCCGTTGCTCCTGTTATGGCTCCTGTACTGAAAGCATAAACTGCAAAATTTTAAATGTATTTATTGATGGTGTATATTTAAGGTATATATTACCTTTATTAAAGTAGGTGGGTAAGATAACAAGATAATTATGTTTATTTCAAGTGCATAGTATCTAATTATCTTGTTTAAAGGGCCAAGGGCTTCCTTCCTTTAGCAGACATATCTGCTAAATTCAAGTGCAAATACACAGATTTTAAGAAACGTTTACATCTTTTTATTCATTTTTGCAGTGTGATACTAATTTGGCTTCTTATGATGATATACGCTGATAAACAAGACTGTAACTCATTTGTCCATTAGACCAAGGTACTGTTTCTCCTTTACAATTTAGCCTGCTTGAAAAAATATGCTCTTGCTCTGTCCTTTTGTGTGTCTGTGTTGTTCTTACGTTTTTTGCCCCATTAGAAATTATTGGCCCCCCTGCTAAATTTAGTCCACAGTCTAGAACCACCACTGGTCCTCACTGAGGAAACAGTTTGAACAAAATTGAATAATCTATTGTATTGTTGGGAGGGTTTTGGTCACAAACGATTAAAGGATGTAGGGAGTTAAATACAAGAAAGCCACTAAAGAAAATTTAGTAATATGGAAGAATGTGCTCTGGTCAGTTGAACATTTATGCCCACATGCAAAACACTACCTACCTCAACACACCAGCCCCATACTGAATGTAATGGTGAGAGCAATGTGATGTGGGACCATGTCCTTGATCAGTTGATGGACAGATTCATCAATCTAAAAACGAGGCAATCTTGGACAAAAACTCATTAACAACCAAAGAGGACGGTAGGCTCCAACAGTAGTCTACCTTAAAAATACCCCAAAATTTTTTTAACTCAACCAAAAAAACGTTAAAAGACTTCAAAATTGGTGTTTACAGACGCTCTGCATTCAATCTGAGCTTTAATTACTTGGTATTACATTCGCAAACTTTTAGTTTCTAGAGGTGCACAGCTGGTAGACACATTTAAAGGATGTGTAGCTGTAACTTCAGCAGCAGACGCATTCACTCAGCAAGAGCTGTGTTTTTTCACTTCACACTTTTCAGGGATCTAGTTGTAAAAAAAATAATAATTTTATAATATTAATATTTTGTCATTTCCAATTTAGTGTAGATGTATGGTATACCATTCTTATAAAACACATTCAGGTTTGTGGAGATTTGTTACCAAATATTAAAAAAAGGGAGGGAGTTCAGGGAGTTCAACTATTTTGGAAAAGTTAGGTAACCAATAAGAGAAGCAATAGGTAGCATGTCCATCAAAGCATGTTGCTTAAGACCATATTCTTTAATAATCTGACACAATAAAAACAGTATAATTGAAAATAGGACTTTGGAACTATGAGTGGTACTTTGATAAGAACAACAAAGAGAATCTCTGTAGGGATTAAAATGAGAATTGTGCAACTTTTTCCCCTGGCATATGGAAGTAGAGACATCGCTAAATGAAAGTTTAACACTGTACCTCAGTATAATAGGACATCTTGTGGTGCCATATGAAAGTACATGATGTCATTCAGGAAAATTGATGTGAGGACTAGAAGTACAGCTAATTGCAGAATAGAACATAAAAAAATCTGTAAAGTTCATGGAAAGGAAGGTGAGGTCAGAACAGGTTTGACTACAAATTACTTTGAGTTACCTGTTCAGATGTGTTTTTCCCTTTGCTTAAATTAGCATTACAAAACTATAACTTTGCATTGACAGACTCTCAGTTAAACATTACCAAATAATTTTTTGACAGCAAAACATTAACATTTAGATGTTCAAGTAGCTGAAACAGTCAATATTTTCTTTTTTGGCTTAGTATGAGTAGATAGTTATTATGTTTCAAGGGTTTTTTTTTTCAAATAGTTTTGTCATCACTGGAGGGCATTGTTTGCTAAACGGAGATTGGATGATGGTACATCAAGTCCTTTAGGCAAGATGTGGTTAATATTAGGAAGGTAAATATGTTTATAGAAGACCAAATGTAATTTAAAGGTCAAATGAGCAAACCAAGCCTGACTTGTAAGATATTTGTTCCCACTAAAACTTGAAGATACTTATGGACTAAGAGAATATTGACTTTCCAACATATTTTCTGTGTAAAATAAAGACAATTGCTGGCTAAGATTAACTATGTGCAGCGTTTGGGGTGTTGTTGGTAAAATCAGATTTAATAGCACTACATGGCGTTATCTATTGTACTATTGTCATACATCTTATGGGTTACTTTACCAGAGCGTTCTACAACTTTCCTGTGAATTTCAAAGATCTTATATAGATACCGGGTACCATCTTAGTAATTACAAGTTACAATACATTTTTTTTTAAATTCTCATGAAACTTAATGGGCATGCAAACACAGATCTTACTAGTTACCTAACATGAACTTTCCAGGAACATTCTTGTAACTTAACAGATACTTTAATAATGATGAAAATGACTTGATCACATTTTTACTAATAGTTCCAAGACGCTTTCATGAAGCTCAATCAATCAATCAATTAATCAATCAATCAATCAATCAATCAATCAATCAATCAATCAATTAATCAATCAATCAATCTTTTTATAGTACTATTACATACAGTTGGGTGACCAAAGTCCTTCATAGATTAAATAAATGATAAAATATAAAAAGAATAAGTAATAAAATGCAATATCCCATAAAAAAGGGATGCAAAGGAATTTCAATTGATGTAAAGTACAATAATAAAACTTGACATAAAGACACTGACTTAATGTAAGTACAAGTTAAAACACAATGAAAAAAGTCGCTCTAAAATAACCTAAGGTTCCAACCAACTTAATGAATAGTGGGAGATTGTTTCATGAGTTTAGGAGCCTCAGCCAGACAGCTTGGCCATCTAAAAACATTTGGTCACCAGATCTCAGGGTTCTGCTTGGAGTGTGTTCATGTTAAGGTTCATTGATGCAAGACAGACCATTTTAAAGATTCAAAAAGCAACAGTCAAATTTTAAAAGTAGTTATATCAGTATTGATATTAGAACTTTACACGGTGGGCATCTTGCATGTTTTTCTCTTTTTTGATCCAGCACCCCATCCAGTAGAGTTTTAAATGTAGTTTTCATGGAACTTACTGGTACTTTTAATTACCTTTCATGGAACTTACATAACAACGGACTTTGAGTTTGAGTTTTTCCCCAGATAAATCCTGTAAAATGGACTATATCATGTATTTCTATTGTAACTTCACTATGACTGATTTTTTTCCTTTTCTCCACCTACAGAAGGTGAAATCACCTCAAAGCCCATGGTTCTGTTTCTGGGACCCTGGAGCGTCGGCAAGTCCTCTATGATCAACTACCTTTTGGGACTCCATGGCACGCCACAGGAACTTTACACAGGTAAGCACAAGTAAAATCCAACAGTTTGTTATTTGCCGTCTGTGCAGGAGAAAAAAAGCTCTGTCCATCTCTGCACCAGGTGCTGAACCAACAACGTCTGAATACACCGTCATCATGCATGGGGAAAGGTTTCGGACAATAGAGGGCATAGTGATGGCGGCAGACAGTTCAAGATCCTTCTCACCCCTGGAAAAGTTTGGTCAAAGCTTCCTGGAGCGACTGGTCGGCATTGAGATGCCTCACAAGCTGCTGGAGAGGGTCACCTTTGTTGATACGCCAGGCATCATAGAAAACCGCAAACAGCAGGAGAGAGGTGACGATAAGTCAAAGAATTTTGTCACTGTATCTTGTAAAAAAACAAAAAAAAAATCATTATGTGAATTTAGATGTATGGCATGATTCAACACATGGTTATTTATACCATAGATGTTTGTAAGACATCATTATTGAAAAAATAAGGGTCAGAATAAAATGTAAAATGTAGGTTTTTAGGTTTAGGTTACTGAGCAAGCATTGAACATCTCACTAGGACATGTTCATCCAGCTAAAATGGCAGAACTATAAAGGAGACCATTAATCAGAAGGGAAGCCAAGAAAGGAACATAGCAAATCTGGAGGAGCCCAAGAGATCCCAATTTGGTCATCTGATGATGAGGCACGTTTTAGTTTTGTAATATTAGAATCATTCCTTTGTGGAATAGTGGACAGATGAGAGCCATCATTAAAAGAGAATGAAGTTTAGTAGAAGCTATAAGAGACAGCAAACATGTGAATAAATTTAAAACATTTATTCTGCACATTCCAAAGAAACACGGAGCGGAGTTGAAAGCGTCATGGCATAGGGAATTATTTTCATCAGTAGGGATCTGGAAACTATACGGAGTTGATGGAAAGATGCATAAATAAATAAAAAAAAACCTTATGACAAAAAGCTGTAAAAGTCTAAAAGAGCCAGAGTCACAAATAAATCATACAGTTAAAAAAAAAGTTTGACTATTTTGTGAAGATAAAGGGGTTAGATTTCAGTTTCTCTGTAGATGTGCAGGGTATATTTTTTCTTCAAATGCAATTAATATGCCTTATATGGGTCTGATTAAAAAAATACATCTTGCTGAATTATAATAAGGAAAACAAGTATATCACAAAAACATATACTAGTCACATTATACATTGATTATATCTTTTTCTTTTATTTCAATAACATGCTTGTAATCTATTTTGACTTTGATAATTTTCCTTGATAGAAGGACACATGATTCTAACCTACCTTGCCTTCACAGGTTACCCTTACAATGAAGTGTGCCAGTGGTTCATTGATAGAGCCGATCTTATCTTTCTGGTGTTTGATCCGACTAAACTGGATGTGGGAGGCGAGTTAGAGATGCTCTTCCGGCAGATGAAGGGCCGAGAGTCCCAGATCCGCCTTATCCTCAACAAGGCCGACAGCCTCTCTACGCAGGATCTGATGAGGGTCTATGGGGCCCTGTTCTGGAGCATGGCACCACTGGTCAATGTCACAGAGCCACCTCGGGTATACGTCAGCTCCTTCTGGCCTCAGGATTATGCTCCAGACACTAGCCGGGAGCTCTTTATGAAGGAGGAAATCTCGCTGCTGGAGGATCTTAACCAGGTATAAGTTATTCTGTTCTGCCCAGTAACCTCAAGATTATCCTATGAAGGGTTGACTTTGTGTCCACAGTATGGGGCTCCTCAAGGCACCTTTATCGGACCACTGTCAATTTCTCCTCCATAGCTCAGAAAATATTGAACTACAATACGTGTGACCATATTCATGCATTCATAACAGAACTAAATATTTTTAGGTTTCTTAGCGTCTCGAGAAACAGACTAGATGGGTCAGAATCCCTCTGTTTTAAAGCAACATAGACAAAAGAATTTAAAAAAACTCAATGAGCCACAAAAATGACAAAAACCTGAAGGTTTTCATTGATCCAGGGCTAAGTGATTCATTTCCAGCAGAATTTGTTATTCTGTCAGATCAAAAGGCAGTTTCTTTTTTCCAGTGTTTATTATCGTTAGTAGGGCTGAAAATAAAGATCATTATGACAATTAATTAATCTGTCGATTATTCTTTTTAGTTTGTCAATTATTAATCGGATAGCAAAAGGTAGTTTAAAGTTTTTCTGCAGAATTTAAATCAGGTGAAACTAAAATTATCAAACTTGAGGAGTTCAGGATAGAGAAAATTGATGGATGAAATTAAAAATATTTACATATGTTTTTTGTACAATCTTGGTATATTTACTGCTCTAAAACGATTTCTCTTTCAGCTAAAGGCATGTTTTAGTGACTCTATACTCCAGTTAACGATTAATCGATTAGTGAATTAGTTGATGATTATTTCAATAATTCTGCACCTTCGCTTGTTTTTTGTGTAAAGCACTTTGAGCTGGGTTTGTGAATAGTGCGATATAATACACATGCCTTACCCTGCATTTCTTTAAGCTGCCTTCTGCCAGTTGACTGCTTGAGAACACAAGCACACCTGTGAAACTGTAAGGATAATGTTGGGGGTATAGAATGGTAAGACGGGTGGGATATGGAGGGTCTTTTTACAAAGACAGAAGTGCAAATGCTTGTGTTTGTGAATGTCTCTTGTTTGGTTCATCTATAGAAAACCTCAACAAGAGAATAGGCCTCATTCTATACACTATGAAGGTCAAGGTGGAAAGATGATCACCTT